GTTTTGGCTGAAGATATTGAGCTTTTCCATCACCTCTTGCCACAGATGTAGTCATTCTGATTCCTGTGTGTTCCATCTGGTGAAATTCTCGTGTATAGTCACCATTTGTGTTGTTGAAAAATGGTGTTTGCAATGAATAAGTCGTTGGTCTTGCAAAATTCTACCATGTGATTTCTAGCATCATTTCTATCACCAAGGCCAAATTTTCCAACTACTGGTGATTCTTCTTAGTTCCCAACTTCTGCATTCCAGTCACCAGTGATAATTAACACATTCTGATTGCATATTCGGTCAATTTAAGACTGCAGAAGCTGATAAAAATCTTCATTTTCCTCATCTTTGGCTTTGGTAGTTGGTGCATAAATTTGAATAATAGTAGTATTAACGGGTCTTCCTTGTAGGCATTTGGATATTACCCTATCCCTGATAGCATTTACTTCAGGACATATCTTGAAACATCCTTTGTGATGACGAATGTCACGCCATTCCTCTTCAAATTGTCATTTCCAGTATAGTAGATCACATAGTGGTCTGATTCAAAATGGCCAAAACCAGTCTAAGCTCACTAATGCTTAGAATATCAATCTTTATGTGCTCCATTTCACTTTTGACAACTTCCAATTTTCCTAGATTCATGCTTTGTACATTCCATATTCCAATTATTAATGGGTGTTTGCAGGTGCTTCTCCTCAATTTGAGTTATGCTACATGAGCAAATGGAGGCCTTGAAAGCTTTACCTTATCTATATCATTAAGGCTGTTCTATTCTGATGATGCAGCTCTGTTCTGGTCCTATTTTGAGAGCCTTCTGAATTAAATGGCTTATCCTCCTGCACTGTATTGGACACTGGGCTATTCATAAAGTTGCACAGTAATGTATCAGACAGTGTTTCTCTGCTACTCATAAGGTTTTCCCTGGCCAATTCTTTGACAAGTGGTTGGCCTCCTCCTTCTTCCTAGTCTGTCTCAGTCTGTAAGCTGTTGAGACCTGTGCACCATGTGCAAACCCTCCTGGGTTTGAGACACCGGTGGCACAGCCTTAAGCCTCACAGCAACATGCCACCACAGTAGGAAAAACTTACAGACAAGTTTGTCTCTGTTAGCTTGTCAAAACCTCTCCATCCTCCCACCTTCCCCTTCCGTAGATCCTTACCTCTTTCCAGCTGCTTGGGCAGGGCATTGCCTGGGTCCCCAGCTTTACCTGGGTCCCTGTCTCTGCTTCCTCACTCTGTCCTGGTCCCCACCCCACCCCAGGTTTTCTCTGCTGTCCTGCCACTTGGGAGGGGCTTGGCCTGCACACTCAGCCTTACCTGGATCCCTACCTCTCCTTCCTTGCTCACACAAAGATGTTTACTTGTGTTTCATTGACTATGCAAAAGCATTAGATTGTGTGGATCATAACAAATTGTGGATAACATTCAGAAGAATGGGAATTCTAGAACATTTAATTGTACTCATGAGGAACTTGTAGATAGACCAGGAGGCTGTTATTCATACTGAACAAGGGGACACTGCATAGTTTAAAATCAAGAAGGAAGTGAGTCAGGGTTGTATCCTTTCACCATACTTATTCAGTCTATATGCTGAGCAAATGATCCAAGAAGCTGGACTATATGAAGAAGAATGTAGCATCAGGATTTGAGGGAGACTCATGAACAACCTACCATAGGCTGATGACACAACTTTGCTTGCTGAAAGTGAGGATGACTTAAGCACTTATTGATGAAGATTGAAGACTACAGTCTGCAGTTTGCACCTCATTATAAAGAAAGCAAAAATTCTCACAACTGGACCAATAGACAGCATCATAATGAGTGAGAAAAAGCTGAAGTTGTCAAAGATTTCATATTATTTGTTTTTACAATCAACACAAATGGAAGCTGCAGTCAAGATATCACATGCTGTATAGCATTGGGCAAATTTGCTGCAAAAGACCTGTTTAAAGTGCTGAAGAGCAAAGATATCTCCCTGAAGACTAAGGTGCCCCTGACACATAGTTATTTCAATCACCTCATATGCATGTGAGAGCTGGACAAATAAGGAAGACCAAAGAAAAGTTGATGCTTTTAAGTTGATGTTGGTGAAGAATGCTGAAAGTACCATGGACTGCTAAAAGAACTAACAAATCTGTCCTGGAAGAAGTGCAGCTAGAACCTTGGAAAAGAGAATGGCCAGACTTCGTCTCACCTACTTTGGTCATGTTGTCAGAAGGAACCATTCTCTGGAGAAGGATATCATGCTTGGTAAAGTGGAGGGTCAACAAAAAAGGGTCAGGCCCTCAACAAGATGAATTGGCACAGTGGCTACAATGATGGGCTCAGATATAGCAAGGATTGTGGAACTGGCATAAGACCAGGCAGTGTTTCATTCTGCTGTGCATAGGGTCGCTATGAGTCGGAGATGACTGGATGGCACCTAACAACAATAACAACAACAACAAGGAGCTCTGGTAGTGTAGTAGTTAAGGTTTTTGGCTGCTACCAAAAGCTCAGTGGTTCGAACCCACCAGTTGCAGTGCAGAAGAAAGATGGGGCAGTCTGCATCTGGAAACCCAATGAGGGTCACTATGAGCCAGAATTGACTTGATGGCAGTGAGAATAATAATAGTAATAATAATAATAATAGCTAAAGGAGCCCTGATGACACAATGGTATCTAATGGAAAGGTTGGTGATTTGATCCCACCCTGCAGTTCTGTGGGAAAAAGACCTATCTTCTTCCAGAAAGATTGCAGCCTACAAAATGGTATGGGGCAGTTCTTCTTTGTCATATGGGGTCACTATCAGTCAAAAGCAACTCAATGGGACCTACAACAATCATAATTAATAATTATTTAATAATTACTGTAACCCAAAATAAAGTATTTTACTTACATTATCTCTCAACAATAACGGAAATATTATTATTCCCATTTTTAAAATGAGAAAATAGTCTCAGAGTTGCTAGGTGATTTTTCTTACCTCCAAAATCTGTGCTTTTGAGTTTCTGACTGGTTTGTAACAAATACTGATATAAGAGATTCATTCAAGTTATACCTGTTCAAAAAGTTAATTCAACAAACAAAAGTATCTTGTCATTAAAAAAAAAAAAAGGAATAGGATTTAGTTTCACTTATTACTGTTAAATTCTATACCAAAACCAAAGTCACTGCCATGAAGTAGATTCTGACTGAAAGTGACCCCCATAGGGTTTCCATGACTTTAATCTTTTACAGAATCAGACCGCCTCATCTTTCTCCTGCTGAGCAGCTAGTGAGTTTGAACCCCTAAACTTTTGGTTAGCACCTAAATGCCTTAACTGAGGCACCACTAGAGCTCCTTGTTAAGCTCTAAACCCATCCCACTGCCCTCGAGTTGGATCTGACTCATAGCGACCCCTCCTTGGGTTTCCGAGGTGGTATCACTACGGAAATAGATTGCCAAACCTTCCTTCTGAGGAGTGGCTGGGGGGTTTGAACGACCAGCGTTCTGGTTAGCAGTCAAATGCCTTAGGCACTACACCACCAGAGCTCCCGTTAAACTCTATAGAACTATTAAAATGCATTTCTCTGATATATTTTATCTAACCATTATGCTAAATTCAGGACAATTTGCAAGAGGTTCAACTAGACTAGGAAAAGTAACATAATATGCAATTTATAATGTATTTGAATAACAGGAGGGCAAAGTGAGAAGGATCAACTGACTATTTAAAACAAATGAGGAAAAATTTATATCCATACCCTCTGTCATTGAGTCAATTCCAATTTCTAGCCACTCTGCAGCAAAAGGTAGAATTGCCCTGTACCGTTTCCAAGGCTGTAATGTTTTCGGAAGCAGACTGCTGCATCTTTCTCCCCGTGAGTGACTGGTGGATTCATACTGCCAACTTTTCAGTTAGCAGCTGATCACTTAACCACTGCACCACCAAGTCTTCTAAAGAAGATTATGGTTTTTATATTTGCAGGAGCTCTGGAGGTGCAGTAGTTAACACATTCAACTGCTAACCAAAAAGTCAGTGGTTCGAGCCACTCTGGGGAAGGAAGATAAGGCAACCTATTTCTGTAATGATTTAAAGCATTGGAAACCCTATGGGGCAGTTCTACCCTGTTTTATAGGGTCTCTATGAGTCTCAAACGTCTTGATGGCATTAGTTTTGGTTTAGTTTTTGGTTTCATATTTTCATGGGTGAAAAATTAAGGCTGGAGTGTGCTCTGTCAGCCAATCATGTATATTCATCATTCAGAAAAACCCAATTTCAGCAAACTTCTGTTCCTCAAGGGAAAAAAAAAGAAAGCAGCAGATTGTTTTATGTGTTGTGGTGGTTAGCTGTCATGGAGATGGCTCACAGAGCCCCTGTGCACAAAGTTTCAGACTATTGACTGTCTTTTGGAGGTAGATGGCCAGTCTTTTCTTTCTGGCCTGTCTTAGTTTGGAATTCCCCCTGAAACCTTTTCAACACCACAGCTTGCATAAGCCTCCACTAACAGACAAATAGTGGCTATATTGTGAGTGCATTGGCTGGGACTCAAACCTGGGTTTTCCACACGGAAGATGAGAATTTTACCATTGAACCACCACTACCCTCTTGCTTTGTATGTGGTGGTGTGATTAAGATGGCAATGGCTGAGCTAGATGGAAAGAATATAAGATCTGGACTATTTCAATATTAGTTTGCTTGGTCTATTGAACAAAGAGTTAATTTTAAATGGTACTTTAATATTTGCTTTACTAAATCCTCTACCTGTTTTCAATTAGGTAAGCAGAAGTACTGGTGGAATGTGTTGCATATTAACTTGTCTTATTGTTTTGGGGCTGGCTTATATAATAATTTAATTGTGTTGAAATGAACAATTAGGAAGTACAGTAGTTCAGGAACGAAAATGTTAAACTAAATGGACTATGTTTAACATTGTTGTTGATCCTGAGGAACAGTTTTTCCAGTATATGGAGCATTTCTATTTCATCCAGCATATGTTCTTCACCGTTTTCTCTGCTCTAATTCATCTGTGGTTGTCGACAGCTCCAGATGGCGTGCTGCCTCCAAGGCTTTCATCTGCCACTCCAACCAGTCTTCAGGTTGTCTGGTCTACACCAGTTCGTAACAACGCTCCCGGCTCTCCCAGATACCAACTCCAGATGAGGCCTGGCCACTCCACCCATGAATTTCTAGAGTGAGCATTCCATTTGGATCATCATGCTATGTTATCTGAGTGTACAATATAGATCTAATTTTTATTACCTTAATTTCTGAAGAATAAGTCAGTTCTCCTTTGCCACAAATATAGGCTACCTTTTAAAAGTTGAAGCAAAGTACAAGCTAACAACCTAGGGAGGAATTATTTTCTTTACAGAGATATCCACTATTAAAATTTATATAGCATCTAAAATAAGATTTATTGATCTTTATCTTGTATTTAATAAAGTAGAGATGTATTTAATACATGTAGTTAATAAAGTGTTTAAAACATGTATTTAATAAAGTAGAGATGCATTTGAACCCAATAGAATGCTGCATGAGTGATGTATGGAAAATTATAATACCTATACAGATACCACATGGCAATCAGTCTCAATACTACAGAATTTACATCTTATATAAACACAAGATTACAGACCCTCAGCCAAACGACCACTTATTTTAAAAGAGATGCTATTCGATGACTGAAAATTACAGTACTTGAATGTGTGCTGACATCCTCTGAAAATTTTTGCAGTGAGATTTTTGTTTGTCTTTTTTATCTGTTTGAATGTCTGAACCTTCCTAATAACCATTTCTTCTCCATATAGGTTATTTTCCAAGCCTTCTGCATCATTAAGCTATGAAGTGAGAGATCTCCAACCGTACACAGAGTATGAATTTCGGCTGGTTGCCTCCAATGCATTTGGCAATGTGCATAGTTCTTGGATTCCATTCCTGACCATGGAAGACAGTAAGTGTCCTGAACAGTACACAGCCAAATGTCCTCTACACTGGGGAGTTTTAAATGTCTTCAGTTTATCCAAAGCTAAGAAATGTCTATTTCCTTGATCTTTAGTAAAAGATTTAGTAATCTTTTCTGGGGTGGGGGAGAAATCTCAAGAGAGAAGAAAAATTTGGGTTTGGAGGACTGAAAGATTAGGTCTACAGACAGGAAGATGTATTCACAATAAATTATGATATGGCCTCATTCTGTCCTTCATGGTGCATCTAGGTACCCCGCAGGAGAAAAGTTGTCATCTCCTGCCCTATGACCAAATGTTACAGTGCTCAGGTTTTGGAGGAATTCTGGCAGGTAGAAGATATTGAAATATAGACCTTACTTCATGAAGCTGTTTAAAGTGTTTTTTAAACAGTTTCCTGGGAACATTCCGTAGCACTTTTACTTGAACCTAAAAACTAGCCTCAATATTCTGATAATATAATCTGATAACAGAGTACAATCTGTTAACAATGATTCTTCATGTATTATAAGGGATAGATTGGAATTGTCTTATTCAACCAATAAAGAGAATTTTCTAGATTTTCTTTCATAAAAAAGTTATATTTGCTTATATATACTTTTACTAGGTTATGTATATAAAATAAATGCATAATCATGATATTTTTATATAAATTACCTCCCTAAAAGCATATATATGGAAATATAATTTTTTTGAAAGTTGGAAATTAAATCATGGTACACAAAGAGAATAGGGATGCTGTATCTCTGAACAATGAGACTTACATGGTTTATTTTGTCAAATCTTTTAATCAAGGACTTCTTAAAAGATTTTGCTGTATTGGCCAATTGCCCTGCTGCCTCTATGTCCCATGAGGCCATAAGTGACTTTCAAATGGGTAGATATTAATCAAAAGATATGATATTTGAAACAGATTATTATATAAAAATATAGTCATTCTATTAAATAAATCATTACATTAACTACAGTCATACCTTGGAGATATTGCAAGTTCTCTTCCAGAACCCCCACAATAAAGCAAATATTGCAATAAAGTGAGTCATGTGATTTTTTTGTATCCTACTTCATATAAAAATTATGTTTAGAATGTACTGTAATCTCACAAGTATGAAATAGCATTATGAAAAAGTTTGAAATATTGTGAGAATTATTAAAATGTAACATAGACACATGAAGTGAGAACATGCTTTTGGAAAAATGATGCCAATAGACTTACTGGATGCAGGGTTTCCACACACTTTCAATTTGCAAACAACATAGTATCTGCAAAGCCCAATAAAGCAATGTACAAGAAAACAAGGTATGTCTCTATATAATTTTATTTCTACAATCATTATTTTAGTAACAAGATATCAAATGAAACATAGTAGAGCATTTTACCTTTTTTAAAGCTTGTTTTATTTAAAAAAATATATAGAGAGAAGATAATTTGAATACTTAACCCTTTCTTCCAAAATGTCTAAACTTACTTCCTGGGGATTAGTTGGGCACTTTACAAGAGCACATCCAGTCATAGTGATCTGAAGGGACTATTTAGTAAACTGTATAATAAATAGTACTGGAGATCCAGCAAGCATTCATGTGCAACTCAAGAATGGTGCAAATGGTTAAAGCACTTGACTCCTTACTGAATGCTGGTGGTTCATGTTCACCCAAATGTGCCTTAGAAGAAAATCCTGGTGATCTAGTTCCAAAAGATCACTGTCATTGAAAATCCTACGCAACACAGTTCTATTCTGACATCCTGAAGTGACTGTGAGTCAGAACCAATGCTACAGAAACTGATTCAAGGCTTCCACCTTTGTTTTAGAGGCAATGTTACATACACTCTGAGAAATCTGACTTTGTGGTCACCACCTATAATACAGATTAAAGAACTTGAGATCTCATATTCAAAATAGAGATTTTTTTAAAAAATAACTTAATATATGTATTTTTTATTTCCTATAGCAGCGTATTTGGTGGTACTCAATAAAAGTTAACTAAAAATAATTTTTCAGGCCATTGCAGAAGTGATGGCTCCATAGAATGCTAGATTGGGACAACAAGAAAGGCTCTCCTTTTTCTGGGACCTGCAATATCCATTCCTATAGAGAAAGGGCAACACTTGGATTTCCTCAGTGGTAATCAGGCCATACATGTTATTGTATAGCCTCCGTGACCTCTTATCTACAACCAAGATGGTAGCACATAAATTAACAAAGTCCAAAACACTTCAAAGAACCAATTAGCACAGCATCCTTTGTTGAGCAACTTATCTCCCATTTCACCTTACCATAAAAGAATTTTTGTTATTTTTGCTGTTGTTACTTGCCATAGAGTAGATTCCAACTCATGATGAACCTATGTGTGCACAGTAGAAGTGCTCCATAGGGTTTTCAAAGCTGTGACCCTTTGGAAGCAGATAGCCGGGCCCATCTTCTGAGGAGCTTCTGGGTCAGTTCAAACTGCCAATCTTTTGACTAGGAGGTGAGCACTTCACCATTTGAACCACCCAGGGACCTAAAGGAAATCTTACAGAGTAAAAAGTATGTGCTTAGAATTACATGCCCAAAGACCTTGTCATTTTTGTGATTTTCGGGTCCTGGATTTGAGGTGAGAAGTATTAATCCTTCATCTTTCTTATATAAGAGTTATTAACACTTAATTACATAGGATATGACAACTCAAGAAACCAGCCCTCATTTTTACTTAAATAACCAATTACCATCACTTCAATTCTGACTCATGGTGACCCCATTACGTCAGAGTAGACTTGTGCTCTATAGAGTTTCAAGTGTCTGATTTTTCAGAAGTAGATTTCCAGGCCTTTCTTCCAAGGTGCTTCTGGGCAGACTTCCACTACTAATCTTTCAGTTAGCAGGTGAATGTTTTAGCTGTTTGCGCTTCCCAGGGACTCTTATTTAAATACTCTCCCTTATACTGATGAACTCCTTCCTGTGCTTTTGTGTGCACACTTGACACTCATCCACATTAACAAAGGGCCAGCTGATGGCCACTTACCCTTTTAGGTTAAGTTACCAGTGCCGTCTCACTCCTGAGACAAGTTGACAATGTGCTCTATATTTTGGGTGTCACTGGAGATGGATGCCATCTCTAAGAGGATGTGCAATTGAGTTGACAAAGACTGAATGATTGGCATTGGGCACAAGCAGTTTTTCTGTCAAGACTTCAAAGTATTGCTTATAAAACCACCTATGCTGACAGCTCCATGCCAGAATTGCACTTTATACTTGATCCTGGCCAGCACCTCCCACTTGCCAAAGTGCAATTTCCAATGTTGAAATTTCACATATCATCTTACAGAATGTAACAGAGACATCACCTCATGCCCACATTTGAATTTCACACCATCAACAGGCATCTTTCTGCATCAACCATAGCCTCAATGCTTCCCTGTGCCCTGACAGGTCATGCCTGGCAATATTTTTAGTTTGATATTTTAAGACAGTGATTTTCATCAAGATTGTGACACAGCTGAAACCGTAAGTAGAATATAGGCAGGAAATGAGCTACAGCCAGAGATGTAAATGTCTGGGTGCAAAGAGAAGTTCTCAGGGATAGAAAAAAGAGCTGTGAGGAATTTTAATAGTTTTTTTTTTTTTTCCCAAAATAATTTGTCATTTACATCTGTGTGCCACCAATATACAGTTCTATGCATTTTTAAAAATCTAGTGTGCTGATGTCAAATAATAATAACACACATTTGCTATGAATATTTTAAATCCTGTTAAATGTATGTTAATAAAAGATGGTTGTTCCAGCCAACTTGGTCAGTGTAGTGTTCAACTATTTGCAACCAGATAATTAAATACAAACAACACAGGAATTTATTATTATTACTCTTCTTCTTATTATTATTATTGGCTGCTACTAGTCCAATAGCAACTGGCATGTCTGTACCTTACAAAAATACTTAAGATTGTGTTAGATTTGGGAATATGTGATTAATAAAATGAAGATATTTACCTAACAGCTGAAAATTTTGGTATCTTGAACAAGGAATAACCATTGTCTGGGTTAGATTATTGTTCCCTCTATTTTTGTGCTTACAAATATTTTCTATACAGTATGTACATGTAGAAATTGTAGTTGCCAGGGAAGGGACATTTCTTTCAATCTCAGCTTAAATGTGAGCATATTATTTTGCTTGTTGTGTCAAATGTAAGATAACCTATCTTTTCCTTAAAAATTTGGATTCCCTAGGCTAGAAAGAGGAGATCTGGTAGCGTAGTGCTTGAAGCACTTGACTGCTAACCAGAAGGCTGGTGGTTCAAACCCACCAGCCACACCTGGAAGGAAGATGGGGCAATCTACTTCCGTAGTGATACTGCCTCGGAAACCCAAGGCGCAGTCGCTATGAGTCGGGACCAACTCGACGGCACATAACAACAACAATAATAGGCTAGTAAGAGTCATTTAATCTGTTTCTCTTGAGGTTTTCCAGGTAACAAGGCTGAAATATAGCATATCTGATTATTTCAGTCATTGTAATGATAAATATACATGGCACAAACAAGCAATTAGATCAACCTACTGATGTTTTCTAAAAATCATTCCCTTACTGCCCTCCAAAAAAAGGGGGGGGGGCGAGGAGGGCCTATAAAAATAGCTATTTACTTGTCACATATTTTTAAAAAGATCTTCAAATATTTGATGATTTCCCCAAATTTATAGGTAAAAATTCCACACTTATATTTTAGGCCTTCATTTAAGAAGCATTACTAAATACACTTAGTGGGTTTTGTACTTTTTTTCCCTGTGGATTTACTTAGACAGTTTTTTTTGATGTGTTAATTGCATTGCTAATAGGCTGTTTATAATTTTTGACTAGAATATGCTCAGACGTAGGCTGATATATCTTACTACCTAAACAGTGAAATTAATTACTACTAAATTTAAGTACTACTGTATTTACTATTATATTACATCTGGTCATAAGGAGAATTATTCTAGTATCTGGGTACCCTGATGTACTTTTCTCTTCAGT